CATGGATCTCTCTCTCTCTCTCTCTCTGTCTCTCTGTCTCTCTGTCTCTCTCTCTGTCTCTCTGTCTCTCTCTCTCTCTCTCTCTCTCTCTCTCTCTCTCTCTCTCTCTCTCTCTCTCTCTCTCTGTGTCTGATTTTTACTTTTTATTTAAGTTGACAGTAGGTCCGTACGTTTGAGTGCGTGGTTTCCTAGGGCGAGAGTAAATATGTACACGCATGTGTTTGCTGTAACCAAATGTCGTTGTTCTTGTCGTGCCTACATTGAATTAATCGACTTACATGAATTCAGTTCAATTCACATCAGTTGTTTGAACTTGTTTCTTTTTCCTTTCGTGTGGAACATTCACTTTTACTGCAAAAGAGCAGAGGATAAAATGTTCGTTGTGTCTGCTTTAGGCTGCTGCACGGTAGCAGCACTGCACTGAATTCTGTTTGTGTTCTCCAAACAGACATATTGAAGATCGATAACCTTCGAGGGATGGAAGGAATAGTAAAGCTGCAGCTGGATAACAACATGATTGAGAAGATCAATAACCTTAGTCATCTGGAAAATCTGACATGGCTAGGTGAGCTGGTAAATCAAACCCGAGGTGGGACTGGCGGCACTTTTCTATGTTACTTTTTTTTTCTGTTGGAACTTGTCATTCATTTCTTAATTAAGTTGGGGTAAGCAGCGTCCATTGGGACATCGGCTAAAATTAAATTGGAACGATACGTGTGTAATGAACCCAGTCTGACAGATACTCAGAAGTCGTCAAACACGTGTAGAATCAGTATCTGCATCAAAGTCTCCAATTCGTGAAGAAACATATCGAACAGTATCTCATTATCATCGATAGAAGAGAATGGAGGGAGAACAGACAAAGGAGAAGATGAAGATTCACACAACAATCCCTGCTGAACCCTCTCCTTCTCCGGGCTTCTCCTCTCTCCACATCAACAAAGACAATAACTTAATAAGTATATTCCTGATCACACACGGAAGTGCCACGTGGCACTCAGTGTCATGAATACCATGAAGACATTGCAGATTCCAGTATCGACTTCAAACCCAGGTGAGTACCCGCTCTCCTTCAACCACAGATCCCGATCTTCCTCCTCCCCTGCAATCGGTCACCTCATGTAGACAGCGTGGACAATGCCACGTCAACAATCGAAACAGGTGGCAATCGGCACATCATCAATGCAGACCAGTAGCAGCACCACGTATACCAGAGGCAGCGCCACATATACCAGAGGCAGCGCCACATCAGCATGCCACGTAGACAAGAGGCAGCGCCACGTATACCAGAGGCAGCGCCACGTATACCAGAGGCAGCGCCACGTCAGCATGCCACGTAGACCATAGGCAGCGCCACGTTTACCAGAGGCAGTGCCACATGAGCATGCCACGTAGACCATAGGCAGAGCCACATCAGCATACCATGAAGACCATAGGTAGCACCACATCAGCATGCCATGAAGACCATAGGTAGCGCCACATCAGCATGCCATGAAGACCAGAGGCAGCGCCACATCAGCATTGCCTGGCGCACAGAAGAAGCGCCAGCATGCTGCCTCCACCTTGCGCTGTCGTCCGCAATGCCTACGCACAGCCAGCATGAAGCCAGCGTCGTGTCAAAGTCGAGCCACCGTCAAAGCAGCATAGCAAGACTGAATGCTTGACTCGCTCAAGGCCAGCCTTAAGTAACAGTCGTCGAGGCTGTCTGGCCTCGGGTGCCTTTTCCACAGTCGTCCAGATTGACTCACAGCTGAAGGCCCGGATTGTACCTGCATACAAACAAGTGTGTGTGCATGACCAGCAGCCTGGGCTAGGTACCTTTGGACTTTGACTGTTGGAATTTCCAACAGTTGACCAAAGTCAACTGCCTCACGTCCAGGCCCTGCGTCCTTATGTGGGGTCGTGTGCCCTTGTTTGGCCTGGGCTGAGGGCGGTCGCGTTAGCCCTCAGTTTCCACGAGACATATGGCATGGGTTATTTCACGTGGCCCCTGGGCAAGGATGACATGCATAAATCGAGAAATGGCCCAAAGATTCAAAAAGTTACAAAAACAAAATTGGGGTGAGCGTCGTTCTTCCAGATCTCCTTAAATCCTTTACAATTGGAATGGTACCGGGGCACACAAATCCAGAACTCATCAAAGAGGGAAAAAAAAAACACAACAAAACTTTTGGTGAGCTGTAAGCAGAATCAATCACTCACAATCAGGACAGAAGAAGAGCACCACTACAAATTACTCTGCATTGAGTCTGCAAGGAAAATGAGTGAGAGCGACTGACAGAAATGCAAATTGCATCATCCCGTTGAAAACCAGATAGTCGTGTGCCGCACAGAACAGACAGAATGCACCAAGTGCACAAGTAAACACCAAAATAAGAGCACAACAATGAACTCAATTGTGAATGTCAGGCCCTTGTCTCACCACCATTAACAAAGTATATCCAATGTCGCTCTACCTGCTGGCACCTGGCGCCCAACCACAGGCTCACGACACCTATCCTCGCCTACACTAAGATAATGCAACCAGACCTTCCCATGGGAAGTAATCAATGCCGTCCTTCGGGCCTTCCAACCATAAAGGGGAGGAGCGTGAGTGAGTATTTGTTATAAATTCCTTTGACTTGCCGGTGGAATAGGAACCGGACTGATGCTGCCCAGAATGGAAAAGGAGCCAAAACCTACCCTCAGGTTCTGTTTAAAAAAAGAAAAAGAAAAAAGAAAAAAAAAAGATGATGCAACCAGAACAGCTCAGCAGCAGAACTGATGTAAGTGAAGATGTCGCCCATGCAGACCTCCATGACCAACCAGGTATGTCGGTACTATGTCCCCCTCTCTCCCACTCTCAGTTCCTGTCTGTCCCCACATGCGTACCACCATGTCCCAAGGACCTCCTTCCACCCCCAATGACGTCCAGTGAGAGCAGCCCGGCTATGGCTGCCTCACTCGTGAGTGGGGCCCAGCAGCCCAGCACCCTGCGCCCCTGTGCACGTCTACAAGCCAGCGGCCAGCCTTAGTCAACGCGAGAAATGGAAGCACGGACGTACAACGGCCTCCAGCCAGGATGACTGGACTGGAGGTCAGCACTTTCCTATATGGAAAGTGGCTGCCCTGCGCCTCCCGTGGATGAGCGCGCGTGGTTTCCAGTAGTTTCACGCGCTGGGCCGCTGGCCCAATATCTGACTCCTGGGCCTGTTCCGAAAGTGGCCTGGGCCCCAAACAGTTAGGGGCGCAGTTAGGGGCGCAACTGTGCGACGTGGCAAACGCTGTTCACTGCTTTCTCATTGACCGAGAGGCCATGTGTGACAAAGCAGCGTGCGGCCTGGATGCCCGGTGCTCGGTCACACCGTCCTGTCCTTTTTTAGACCCCGGTAGGGCCTGCCAGGCTTTTGAAAATCCTGCCCGCACGGCCCTCAGGCTGGCCTGAAAAACGCAGGGCGCCGCAGGCTAAGAAAAAGGGGCCCTGCGAGGGCTCACATCCTCACAATCTCTCCTCGATAGCTTCGAAACTCCTCTGAGATGCTGCTATTGAATCTTATCTTTCCCCTTCAGCTCCCGTTCGTACGCGGAGGCAATTTGAGGGGCTGTCTTTATAAGCTCCTCCTCCCTTGTAAACCACCGGCCTTCTTTAGGATCTGTATGGTGCCTGAATCTGACCTGGAACTGTCTTTGGGGTTCCGGCGGTCTTCCTCTGCCAACTGGCTTTGGTACAGGCACGTCTTTGTGATCCACAATGTCGTCAATGTCCACGTGTCCATCCATGGCTGGGGGCAGCATAGATCGTCTCGAAGGGAACTGGCCTGTTTCAACGAAGGTGCAAGCTTGGAGGCATGGAATACAGGATAGGTGCGTAGGTGTCCAGGGATACGAATGTCGTAGGAGGGTCCATCAGGGTCATCCCCCGCGATATCCAGAATTTCCCAAGGCCCAAAACACTGCGGCATCAACTTCCTAGACATACCCAGTTCCTGTCCCAGTTCAAATGACTTCACCCAGACTCTATCCCCGACCTGAAATTTGGATGACCTTCTATGCTTATTCTCAGACGCAATTATCATGAGTCATGGCTGGCGTCCTGAGACTTCTGAATTTGCCCAACAGCCTGCTGCAGCATTTTATCATACTGGACACCAAATTCAATGCTGCCAGGTGCTGCAGGCCGTGGGCTGATTTTCGGGTAGGAGGAAGTCAAGAGCTGATCTAGGCCTCCGCGCAAGATGTAATGGGTTGGAAGACATACCTGAGGTGGTGTGTACAGGTTGTTGTACAGGCTGGCGATGAGAGCTAACGTCTCATCCCTATCACTCTGGCTCGGCTTGACGTAGAGCTGGAGCACGTGCTGCACCACACGGTTCATCTGCTCTGCCTGGCCGTTGGCTTCACGATGATTTCCTGAAGTCATCTACGGTTGGGAACCCATCTGCTCAGCCGCTTTCTATCACTTGCGATGGACCTTGGTAAGCTAAAGTCACGTACCCAGCTGTCCATGAAGAGTTTGATTACATGTTCAGTCTTAGCGGTCTCTGGCATGGCGACTAACCTACCGTACTTCGAAAACCTTCCACTATGACAAAAAAAATATGCCTCTTTCCATTCTTGCTTGTCACAAGGGTGTCCATGTAGTCCATAGACAGACGCTGTCCGGGACCAGCAGGAGCAGGCAGAGGTTTTAGTAATCCAAGGGGTGCTTGAGTCCTTGGGGTTTGTTGCGCTGACAAACCTGGCAAGTTTCTACGTATCGCTTAGCAGCCTCTAACATAGTGGGGGCCACCGAAAGCGTTGCACTGGGTTCGCAGAAGTTTTCTTGTAGCTAAAATGACCGGTCACATCATGACACTCTCCTAGAAACAAACTACGCAAAAACACTCTACTTTTGACACACTAAGTCTTTTATTCCCAACCTTATCAGGGAATAACAACCTGTCCGCCAGCACAAACTTGTCAGAAGTGGCCTTATCTTTGGCCTCAAGCTTGCGGATGATGTCCATCATGAAGGCGTCTTCCTTGTAGGAATCCACCATAGCTCAAGTAATCTCATCGGATAGCCCAAGCTCGGTGACCCTATGCGATAGAGCGTCCACAACCTTATTGTACTCACCTTTCAGATGTTGGAGGTGGAAGTCATATTGATCAATGACTTTGATTCATCTATTCAATGCATCTGAAAGTGTAGGCTGCACAAAGTGTGGCTATGGACATCTTCCAAGAGTGTGGCTATGGCAGGAAGGGATGGGACTAGCCAAGAAGAGCTTGTTTTCCAGAAGTCAACCACGGCCAATACAGGGTGTGGTGCGTTGCGGTCAGGGAAGCAGCAATGACCCACGTTCAAATCCAGCACATATCTATCTATATATACCTGTGCAATCAGACTCGTTTTCAAACACACTTTTCACACATGTAAACATTAACGCAGCATACTGGCGACATGCGCCCACTCAAAA